GAGGTTCAATTTGCCATGTTGCAAGGAGAGCTTAACTTCTGTCTCGCTAGCTTGCCCTGCGCTCAGTGAATCTGCGTTCGACTACTCCGCCTAGGCTGCACTGTTGAGCGCAGATCCACTGAGTGCTCAACACAGACAGCATCATCAGAAGGAAAGTTGATAAAATAAATTAAAAATTTTGTATTGTTCGATACATATGCGTACCGAACCGAAAGCACTGTACGAGTATCGTTGCACCCCTAATGCTTATATCTGTGTTTATGCAGACCCATATCATATGCATATACAGTACACACATTAAATATACTGTCTTTGCTATTACATCATCATTTCATCTTGTTTTTAAGCCTCCATAGCATTTCGTCACCAAAGGCTGTGACATACCCTGCCTTCTTCAAAATGTTGGTATAACTTTTTATGACATATATAAATGCCATATCTCAATATCAATACTATAGCGACACCATATGTTTACATTCCCTACTGAGCACAACAACAACACAAGCAGTGTGTTGGTTGTGATGGATAAGCGGTTTTATTTTTAGGTCCAGGGAAAATGGTGCAAACGCTACTTTTGTGCTTACATTTGACTTGTGCTGTATATAATGCTGTCACTATTATTGCACTATAATGCTGCTGCTAATAGAAGGTTTTTTCCCCTTTATTGACATAAACATCAAAAATGTCCTTGAAATGTAATGATTTAATTTTGAGACTATATTGCAAAAACTCTGTTTAACATCGCTGACTCTTATCATTAAGTTTGGTAAAACATGTTTACTCTCAAAACAAGCCTTTGGTAAAACGAGGAAGCTTGAACTTAAAAAGTAAAACCAAAAGCAAATGTGTAAATAAAGTATGTCACATAATAACAGATTTCATATAGAAACAAAATCTCCTAATTTAACTCATCTCATCAACCTTATCTGGTCTTTCTGGCACTGCTGGCAACATGTTCTTCATCTTAGCATACAGTTGCTTTTTCTCCATATTCAGATCAATCACATTATATTGCCTCAGGTTAGCCGACAATACAATAATATTTAAATGTTCTTACTGGCGAAGGACATGAGTCCTCCAAATCCATCGTTGCTGTTGTTGGAAATGGTGGAGTTTGGTGAACTGTTACGTGAGTCTCCCTCCCCATCGGACTCTCCTGGGAGCCTAAGGCTACTGGGGCGTAAAGGACGCTGTGCCCTACGGAAATAAAATGGTGAAAAGACATTACAGTGCATCGTCGACACTGGAAAATATACATACACCACTGGTAACCCTCCAGCATTCACACTGTATAACATAACACCACCAAAGATTCAAGACCATGAATGAAGAGAGTATTCTGACATGCTAGGTTTGGAAAGAGATCATTGCATGGTCAGAGAGCCCATTTGAATGAAGATAATGCATTCATTCAAGCGATGAACAAGCTTAACACACTTGTTGCCATTGAGGTTCTGGTTGAATCGAGGGGTGTATGATTCCACTTGCTCTTCTGCATCAGGGTCATCCTCTGAGGGGAAGCCATACTGAGGCTCAAAGTATGGGTTGTCATACTCTTGCTTTTTGTTGGCTTGCTCCACCAGACCAGCATCAGCTGCAGGTCTGAGGAACGGCTGATTGGCCAATCCCGGCACGGGGTTCTGTAAAGCAGCGCTTGCTGATGCCTCAATTTCAGGTACTTCCCCTTGCTCCTAAAAAAAACACATGAAAACACATATGAAGGGAATTTTGTAAATGTTCCTCAATGTGCACAACTATCATGCTGAAAAAGATGCACACTCAACAGATAAAGACGGTTTGTACACACTTATCATAAACAGAAGGAGATTTAGTTCATCCAAAAATAAAGAAAAGAAGGTTAAAGAGGACCAATCTACACAAGTCTATTTAATCTTGAAATAAATTAGAAAGATCACATACATGGTTGACCCCCTGGATGATTGTGCTGGGGCTTGAGCTTGCAGTTGTGCTAGAGCTTGAGCGAAGAGGCTGTCCATCAGAAGGCTCAGCAGGTCCGTCCCCACTGGGTGGGCCTTCAGGGCCATGCCCTTCCCTGAAGTCATGGTAGTCTTGAAACTCAACCTCACTAGCATCTCCCAGTGCTGCATGGGTAGGCGGGTCCAAGCCTGAGACAATAAAGTTAAATTTTACAACAGAGGAAATGCTATGAATGTGGTCAAAGTGGATCATTGGGCAAGATAACCACATACTTGGTGTGTCTCCCTGGATGTCACCTTGAATCATCTCACTCACTAGGTCTCCAAGTGAGGAATAGGATGAGCTGGAGTCGTCGTAAGCCTCACTGTCACTGCCGCTGTAACATATTGAATTTATCACAACCGACAGCAATCAAAATATATGGCAGAATTAAACAAAAACCCAGATAGTAGACTGAACTGGATTAAACAGAAAGACCTTGGTTTAATCCTACCTGTCTGTGGGGTCAGACTCATTGCCTTCATCCTCCAGTGGGCCAGCCATAGCCTCAACCAGTTGGGAGCTTCCATCATATACTCTGTAGACCACTGGCTGCAGCTGATGTGCATACCACTTGGGCTTGTCTCCAATTAAGGAGGGGTCAAACACATCTAAAGAGAGATATTCAAATGAGTTCAACACAAATTCTGTAATGCATACTCACATAAAAGACAACCTATTATGATCTTTAATGAGTCTTACTGTTATGGATTCTCTGAAAGGCAAGGTTTGTGGGATTGAGAGCCCACTCTCCATAGAACTCTACGGCCTGGGTGTGAGAAAGCTTGTCTGCAAAGGTAGAGCGTCTTGGCCGAGATGCAAGAAAAGACGTCGACTGAAAAGCAACCACTGGCCGCGGGAAGAGGCGCAGAGTGCGAGTGTGCATCTGGAACCCCTGAAGAACATTTGGAGAGTTGAAAAACCGTACCATGGCCACCCTGCAAGACAAAGAAGTTTTAATTAATTTTTTTATTTAATTTTATTTATTAAGATCAGTGTGACTTCCGTGTTAACGGAAGCTCAGACAGATGCTGATAAACCCTGACAGTTCAATGCTTGCCTGGTAGCTACATCCACAGAATCGACATCATTGCCATAAATTAGAGGGTTGAATTCGGTGGATGACGGCGAAGCTTTATCTCGTCCAGGTGGGAGCAGGGGCATCTCCTGACCTTCCTGAAACTTCTCCAGGTTGAGAATTGGTTGGGTGTTCAAACTCATGCTGGTCAAAGCCTAGAACAGGTACCGGTGACATTAATTACAAACACAGCAGTGGCTCTGAATACAAAAACACTGCATTGTGATAGACCACACCCACATTTGGCATCAACATTTAGTTGGAATATAAATTTCTTTACTTAAATTGGACAGACTGGCAGGCAGAATTGAAATAAAAGGGGATTTGATTGTTGAGCCAATGGCTCTTATAGGTAGCAATTCTGCTGCTTAGCATTGTGCTAATATTAGATTATTTACCAGAGTCCCACGCCATTACATTACTTCAAGCAGCTAAAGGATGAGGTTTCCATATGTTGATGCCTGCAGTGGGTGTGTCACTTTGGAGTAGGAGGAGCAGAGGAGGGAGTAAGTTTGCTTTGAGGGGACTGCTGCAGACTTAAGAGTCAATGTTTAGCTTAGCATAATGGAACATTTAGTTGCTGCGTCTGGATGAATGTTAACTTTGTCAAAGTGATCAGCTTCATCATACAGGATCGTGTTTTCATTACGAGAATACTCACTGATGCCAAGATTAGATGCACGCACATTCAGTCATGCTCAAGCCAGAGCTAAGCAGTGTATCAAAACACTGGTTTGCAACATTCTGTGACGCTGTTATGCATTTTTGGTCTTGAAAATAGGAAACACGTAGAAGTGACAAGCAAAATAATGTGAGACAGAGAAGATATCCGTGCAGGGGGCATGGCACATTCCACAGGAGGAGAAATAAGTAACCTTATTCTCAGAGGAGAAGATCTGCTTTTGGGTGATCACGGTCAACCTAACCAGACACTAGGAAGGGGATAAGAGAGATGCGAGGAGAATCACATGAAGGCCTGGGATGACAACTTTGTGACTGACACTGGAACAGCACATGACGGAAGGGTCACCACCGTAGCCCTTTTCTTTTCTTTGTCTCCTTTCAACAGCAGTTCCCTATTTATTAGATTTTTTTTGCTGACAGGAAATAAAAATATTTGTAATTTAAACAGATCGAAAAATCACGAGGGAAAAGGTTCCTCTTGATTTTTTTTGTGCAACATCAGACAGGCTTTGCTCTTTTATCATTTCCATTTTCAATTCTACTTTTTACTGAAGAAAGGAGATAAGAAAATATTCATTTGTGCCCGCTTTGAAAAAGTGATGAACAGCCTGGAGAGTAAGACTGAGTGACAGTGACATGTGACAAAGTCAGAGCAAGAGAGACAGAGAAAGATGAAAAATGGAAATGCTTTTATGTTTGATGTGAAAGACAAACAGAAAAACAAAAACAGAGGAAAAACAATAACATGACCAAATAATAGAGTTCACCTACAAAATCCAGCCACTACAAGATACATGAAGGACATCCATGGTGACCAGCTGGGACAAACCAGTGGTTACAATGGAGTGGTAATGACACACAGAAAACTGCAGATCTTTTCACAAATAAATAAAATACTTGCACAATAAAGCACCTGTAGCAAATTGTAAGCAGTATATAAACTTCTAGTCCTTAAGAAAAGTCAGGTAAGTTGTAATAATACAACCAGCCTTGCAAAAGTACACAAAAAATTATTGGCTGTTATAACCAGTTTATCTCAGTAACTCAACAGTCAAGTGCAAGTATTTTCAGAGACTGTAGCATCAGTAGCACTCTGCTATGGCATCAAAGTCTTCAGATAATCACTCCAACCATATTCAGTGACATTTTCTCCACTGCTCATATTAACACTGTGAACTTGTTTCCGGATATACAACAGCTATACTGAGCCTTGCACACTCCTACAAGTACACACAAGCAGCTCCGTCACACGCCCGCACACAGGGAAAGGGATGCTAACCACACACAGCTAACAGACTGGCTCTGATTCAAGGTAGAATGAACTAAATGAATGTGCAAAGACTTTAACTGGATCTTTGAAAAAGCTGTGGTCTGTGTTTGCTTCATGAATGCAAGGGTGGCACAACAGTTCTGATGAACACCATCATATTTAAAATGAAATATCAACATCAGATTACAGAGTGCAGATTGCCTACAGACTCAAATTTATTAATTTAAATTTAAAAAAAAAGGTTATTTTTGCAAAAATATTATGATTATTATCATTATTATTATTAGTTTTGGTTACATTTTCAATGACTTTAATGATTATGATCTGATATTGCCTACAAAACAACTATTGCTGTTCATACCTCATATTAAACATATGATTACAAAGTGAATAATAGGTAGTCAGTATCTTTTGCAAATAAATATCTTTTGGAATATTAATAGTGTAGCTGGAGAGATAAAAAAGTAAAGTCAAAATGTGATAATATAAATTAGAAAATAAGGATGCATGGTATTCTGAATATCAGCAGCTAATGCCATCTAAGAATTAGCCATAGCAAACATTTCCTGGCTAATGAGCACACTAAGTAAACACATATTGGTAGCTTAAATATTTTTAATTATTTTAAATAAATATATTTAATTACATTAAAGACGTGAGCAGATTTTGTGACATGTGCTGTATTTCCATGAATCAGAACCAGATTCTGATGTTAGATAATCAGGTTAGAGGCCAAGTTAGTTGCTACCAGTAATACTAAGTATTTATTTTGGGTAGCAGCGACCTAGCATCTGATTTTACCTCCAAAAGCTAGAGCATGCACAGAAAACAGAGGGAAAAAGAAAAATTTGTTTATGTTAGTGCACTACAAAACCAGTTTCAAATGCCCCCACACTCATCTACAGTACATACAACTTTGATGAAGAAGGAAGCCCCTACTCTTCACATTGCTGAAAGACAAGTTTTACATTCAATGGGATTAACTAGCAATCATGGGATTAAACTTTAACGGTCCAGAGAAGTACCCGGGTTCCAGAAATTTCTCTGTGAAATGCTCATGTGTATGCTAGTCTCACTGTATTTGGGGCAAATATATGGCTGCCACAGTTGAGCAGAATCAGACAAATTTATAGTCATAACAATTTAAGAGGAATCAAAACAAATCGCATACATTACCTGTTTTAGATGTTTCTTAAGCTCGCCTGCTTCAGGCTCTGGAAGAGGTGGTAGAAGCTCTGCATTGGTAGGTGCTATAACCTGAAAGCAAACATAGCAGTCTTAATTTTTGCAATGTATTTGAGCTTTTTAAAAACAATTTTTTTGTGCAAGTCAATAAACATTAGGTAAATGAACCACAATATAATAAAATAGAAAATCCAAGATGAGAAGGAGCTCTTGTTATACAGACCTTGCTGCTGTCAAGGTCAACAAGCCAAATATCGTCTGGCATTTTGAAGTCTGATTTGTAGAGGAAGAAGCTGGCTGGTACACCTATAATGTAGGGAGTAGGAGCAAGAAGGAGCTGCCAAAGGAAGAAAAATGTTCATTTAGGCAAAGCTGTTATTAAATGAAAAGACACCTTTTTTTTTCTTTTCTTTTTTTTTATAAATGTACACATATACAGAGAAATGACTTATTTATTTAACGTGTATCTGTTACAAACACTAAGTTTCACCTGTTCAGCAGAGGCCATACATGTTGGCAGTAAGGGAATGACTGGGAACATGTACTCCAGTGGGTAAATCATGGCCACAAAGGCCATGACGCTCATAGACAAAGCATTATAATCTCGGGACTGAAGAATGACCTGGGAACAAAACAAAAACATACAACATGCAGAAGATTAATAAAGTGAGCGTTACAATGCAACAAATTTTGTATTTAGTTGGTTCTCACCACCCTGATACATTTGCACCACTTGACGGTTTTTGATGTATGATTTGACTCTGATTTTGAAGCCATGTTCCATTCTTTGTTCATAATTTAAAGCCATAAAAACTCATTTTTGTTATATACATATGGATATTTAACAGCAATAAAATCTCAGCAAGAGCGGCAAGAAATCTCTGAGTGGCAGAATACATATCAAAATAGAATACCTTAAGAACCCCATATCTGCTAGACACAGGGTGACAGAAAAGTAGAGAAAAAAGTCCAACATAATGGTCTTTAAACAGTATGACTCAATCTGAGAAGCGTAGGTTTGATTTGGTTGCAAATGAGCCCATGTATCAGTGTCAACGTATGCACAGAGTAACACTACATCAAAATCAATTAAACAAAGAATCCTATTACATCTACACTAATGACTCTAGTGTTAAAAATACAAGATGACAGAGTCTTTCCTCTCTATCATAAACTATTAACACTCTTCTTTTTACCCACTGTGCTCTGTCCACACGGCTTCAGTGAGCTAACAGCAGAAAATGTGGACATTTCAGGACATTTCTAACAAGGTCTTTGGGAAACAAAAAACAAAAAAGACAAAACTCGTAGACATGCAGCTGCACTCCAGAGGAAACCACTGAACAATCAGACTAAATATAGCCTTGCTTGTACCTTTCACTTCTAAAATCGGCATGATCTTTAATAAAATCCCAAGGGTAATTTGACCGCAGCTTAAAAAGAAAAAAAAAGAAAAAAGAAAAGAAAAATACGGAAAAAAAAAATCCACATCCTTCTTCTTGCCCTTTAGTATATATATGCACAAAACACAAAAGAATATAAAGAGACTGGACCAAGAGGAAGAACACCTGTGCCTGTCCTTACTTTGTGCTCTAGCAGGACACAGCTGAGGACCTGAAGACAGGCATCCACACCCAACAGCTCTAGGGGCAGGTGCAGCGGGAAATCGACCATGGAGAAGCGAGAGCTATCAGGTAGGGCAAAGGTGAGTGGCCTTTTGAGCTCATGGGGCAGCACTTCCACATCCACACGTCTCTGACCCGCCACTGGCACTGGTGAACGCAGCAACCGGTACACCCAGGATTCGATCTCCCGCAGGTCGGCCAGCAGCTGGCTGCCTTTCTCTTCCACCGACAACGCACCGGTAAACACACGCCACATGGTGTCCCTGGGAAGGACATTAATGTACATTTAAAGGTTTTTAGATTTTTCAATGAAGTGTGCGTTGTGACACAACATTCAAGAAAAACACTGAGACAAACATTAAAATGCATGAACTGATGGTATTTCACTTTTCAGGGGAAGAAAAACAATCTGTTTGGGCAGTAAGGAAAAACAATAATATAGTTTTGTTCAAAACGACATATTACGTGACAGTGTGTATACTTACTGAAAAGCTTAACAAATTTCTGTGACACGCAGATAACGCTAATACTAGGGGTGCAACGTTACTCGTATCGATATTGAACCGTTCGATGCAGTGCTTTCGGTTCGGTACGCATATGTATCGAACAATACAAAATTTGTAATTTATTTTATCAACTTTCCTTCTGACGATGCTGTCTGTGTTGAGCGCTCAGTGAATCTGCGTTCCACTACTCCGCCTAGGCTGCACTGATCCACTGAGCGTTCAACACAGATAGCATCATCAGAAGGAAGAGCGCAGGGCAAGCTAGCGAGACAGAAATTAAGCTCTCCTTGCAACATGGCAAATTGAACCTCCCCCACCCTCATTCAGATCTGG